CTGGCCTTTAATTGCCAGGATTGCCTCTAAAGCCTTGTTTAAAAAACACGGCGTTCCATTAACTATCCCCCAGTCATTTGGTACAGAAGCTGATTTAAATATGTTAGAGTGCAATTATTTCTGTAATGTCACATTTGAGTTCCCTCAGAACTCTACAATGATTACTGTCTGGTCCCAGTGACTTATTACTGCTTAATTTATCAATTTATTCCAAAATCTCCCCTAATGACACCTCGCTCTGGGATTTTTCCTCAGATTTGTCACCTAAAAAAACATAGCTCCAGTGTGGGCGTTTCCCTCACATCTTCTGCAGCGAAGACTAATGCAAAGGATTCATTTAACTTCTCTGTAGTGGTTGCATCTTCCTTGAGTGCTCCTTTTTCTCTTCGACCATTCAACCTGACTGCAGGTTTCCTGTTTTTGATGTACTTAACTTTTTTTTTTTTTTTGCTGTTAGTTTTTGAGGTTTTAACTAGCTGCTCTTCACATTCTTTTTCAACCTACCTAACAATACTTGTACAGAGATACAATTTTCTCTGAATTACTGGTCTGAAGAGACATGGTGAAGGAAGGAGAGGGGAAGGCCAGAGAAAATGTAGGGAGAAAAATATCAAAGTAAATTCCAGGGAAATATAGAGAGTCTTTTATTGTTTTAAAGAGTGCAGCCAAACACTTTTCCATATACAGCTTAGTGATTCAGGTATTTTGAAGTGATGAGAGCCACTCCTGTATGCTAAAGCCAAAGCCCTTGCATCCCTATTTGCTTCTGCCCACCAAACAAATAGAAATGTCTTATCTGCTTTGTCTGTGACTCCATCCCATACCGCAAGGAACAGTGTGATTTGCCACCCAATCTACAAGGTGTAAAGGCACAAGGCAGTGCAGAACCATTCTAGCTACCATGCTATGAGCAGACCAGCTAAGTACCTGTGCCCTCAAGGTGCTGAGCATTCTCAGTTCATTCACCTCAGTAGGATTTGAGCTGAGCACCTCACTGGATCAAGCCCTAATAACCATGCTATATGGGGCAGGTGCTTTAGATATATTTGTTTTATGTGTTGAAGTCTTATCTCAGGAATTTGTGGTGTCTGAGCATGAGGAGAGCAAAGGAAAAACCTGTCACACGCTTTTATGCTCAGTCACTTTCTCATATTTCTCATTCTTATCAACTTGGCAGCTCTGCAGTGTGTGTGTTGGGTGGGGGGAAGGGGGGAGTCCAACATAATAGTATTGAAAAATAAAACACAAGCAACATTACAAAGTGCACAGGCTGTGAAGGAAGACATGGGAGAAGATGGATGAAGGGATAAAATTAACTCAGTCATTGCTGGTCCATAGTAAATGTAGCCCAAAATTTCCAAGTATTCATTGGAAGTCTCAGTTCACCATGCACATGGGCTTGGATCAGAGAAGCATGCTTCATGGAACTGATGCAGTTCCAAAACCATTCATCATTAATGGCCTGATTTTTTCCCACATCTCATGTATGCTTATACCAGTGTAAATACAAATAAACACCACTGAAGTCAATGAGTAGCAGTACTGTAAGTTTGTGTGTTCAAGCGAATTGAACCTGTAAAGGGTCACCCTGTGAGGAAGGACCAGATGTGGAGTTGCTAAATTTCTAATCACACAAAACCAAATACCCTTCCCCTGCCCATTCCCCAAGGCCTCCCCCCACTTCCTCCTTCCCCCTTCCTACCCTTGCTCGCTCTCCCTCACTTTCACTGGGCTGGGTCAGGGGGTTGGAATGTGGCAGCAGGTGAAGGCTCTAGCTAGGGGTGTGGTTTCTTGGATGGGGTCAGGGATGAGGGTTGTGGATGCAGGAGGAAGCTACAGGTTTGGAATGCAGTGGTTTGGAATGCAGGAAGAAGTTCAGGGCTGGGGCAAGTGTCCAGACACAGGGAAGGTTTTTTGGTGTGCAAAGGGATTCCAACATGGGGCAGAGGGCTTGGGCAGTGTGTTTGGAGGGTGTTTGCAGGCCAGATAGTGTTTACCTTAGGAGGATTCTGGAAGCAGCCAACATGTCCAGATCCTAGATGAGCTATGTAAACTACTTGCTCCCACAGGCGCTGCCCCATAGCACCCACTGGCTGTGGTTCCCAGCCAATGAGAGCTGCGGCACTGACACTCAGGGCAGGAGCAGCATACAGAACCCCTGTGGTCATTCCTGCACCTAGCAGTCAAGCATACTGACTGCTTCTGGGAGATGTGTGGAGCTGTGCAGGGAGCCTGCCTTAGCCCTACTGCACTGCCAACCAGATTTTTAGTGGCCTGGTCAGTCGTGCTGACCAGAGCCTCCTGGGTCCTTTTTCAACCAAGTGTTCCAGTCAAAAAACAGATGCATGGCAACCCTCACCAGATGGCTGGAACAATAGTAATCACTGTAGGATTTGTAATGGGCCTTTCAAAATTTTAGTCCAACCCAGGTGACTAGCACAGTTTGTGTTCTGTGACAGAATAATTGACAGAATAGTTGTGACAGAACAGCATGTTCACTTCCTACTTGATGGATATCTACATTATATGATGCTGCTGCGGGGGTGGGGGGGGCAGGGGTTGTGACTCCCATCAGAGATGCTGAATAGCAGACAAGTTTATCATGAAAAAAACATTCACTGTGTGGTGAGGGGCAACTAGACTTCATGGGCCAATACTGGTTGAAATAGCATGTTACCTTCGCAAGGGAGGTGTGCATGTAACATGCTGCAGACTGCAGCACTGCTATTTTGTATGCAAATGGTGGCAAGCCTGATTGCTGTATAGCATTTAATTGACCAGCAGTCCAAACCACAGTTTGACCAGATCACCTATCTGACTCCCAGCTTTATATGGTATTTGGCAGCATCTCTCCAAAGAGCATTATCAAGACAACTATTATGCCATGAGGTTTCTGCCCTCCATTTCCCCAGCCACATCTTTTAAAAGCACCATTTCCACCAGGTGAATTCATAAGCTACTTTGTATATGATGTAATGTGCAATCAGAGGACAAGACCAAGCCTGAATTGTAGCTTAGTTTTGGTCTGTATTAACACTAAATTGCTTCATTCTCTTGGTGACTTTGTTTTTAAAAAAAGAGAGATGACTTAAAATTAGAGTTGAATTAACATTCAAGATATGTTTTGAGCCTAAAGTTGGCAGGTTTCCAGAATGTTTCACAAAGAGACAATGACAGCAGGGGAGATAGCAAAAGCCGCATGAGGGCAAAAAAAAAAAAAGTAAATTAGCGAGTGGGAAGAGAAGCAGTGATTGCTATTCTATAAAATGTTCTTTAACTGACAGGGGAGAGTATGTGAGATGAGGGTGGGGGGTGTTGGAGATGTAGAAGACCCAAATTCAAATCCCCTTCTCCTGCACTCTAGGCAGAGGGGAATTAAACCTAAATCTACATGTGTTTGGGTTTAAGTTGTTTTTTATTTCAGAGTTTTTTAAAAGAATTAGCCAGTAAAAAGGGTGGCGGGATTTATAAGGGGAGGAATACTGTTTCCCTCCCCAGTATTTTTTCTGAATTTGTAATTTCAACATTTAAATTTTAAAAAATGAAAAAAAATTGAACCAGTTCTATAACTGGATGAAAAATAGAAAATTACATCAAAAATTAATTACTCTTTTCCTGATTTTAAACTCTGAATTTTGTAATTACTTCAAAGTTTTAAAATTTTTGTCCAAGTCCTGAAAACAACAAGAGAGACCTAAGATAAAGGCTCCATATGAGAGAGCTTAGCGGTTTGTTAGTATTCTGAAACACAAGCTTAGCAACTGCCTCTACAGTAGAGCGAAGCAAATAATGGGCATTTTGGTTTGCTGGAAGTTCTGAAAAATCAACAAAACTTTTTTGATTCAGGTCAAACAACAAAGAATTTTTTTTTTAAATGGCCACTCGAAGAGTCCACACACAGAAATTCAAGTCAAGTTGAAATAGAACACTTCATTTTGACCCAAGTCAAATTTTTTAGTTTATCATCAGGAAGTGAAAGATTAGTTTCACAAAATGGCCAGAGGAGGAGCTGAGATCATAGAATCATAGAATAATAGGACTGGAAGGGACCTCAAGAGGTCATCGAGTCCATCCCCCCGCCCTCAAGGCAGGACCAAGCTCCATCTACACCATCCCTGACAGATGTCTATCTAACCTGTTCTTAAATATCTCCAGAGAGGGAGATTCCACCACCTCCCTTGGCAATTTATTCCAATATTTGACCACCCTCACAGTTAGGAATTTTTTCCTAATGTCCAATCTAAACCTCCTGTGCTGCACTTTAAGCCCATTACTCCTTGTCCTGTCCAATCAGCACCATTATAAGATGTAGCCCAGTGATTAGTGCCCTTTCTTGGGATGGGAGACTTTTAGGTTTAATTCCTCTCTGCCTGGTGTGGAGGAGAAAAGGATTTGAACTCGGGTCTCTACATTGTGTCTTACTCAGTGGGCAATATATTTGGGTATGGAGTTTTCTCAGACTCTCCTGATAAAGTTGTTCTCCTCTGTATAAATAGTAATTGAAGTAGAGGCGAATTTGGGTCTCATACCTTCTAAATGAGTCCCCTAACTACCTGGCAATAGTGTCACTCCACCACAATTTCCCAAGCCCATGTCCAATAACTATTCATTGTCATGAATACTGTGAATTGCCACTATGGTTAAAGTCCCTGCTCCAGTATGTGAAATGTTACTCTACCTTATCTGGATAGTTGACTAAGTTTTGTTCAAGAAGGGTATGTCTCTAGACTATATGCCTCTGCCGGCAGAAGCATGTAGTCTAGACATACCCAAAATGTTGCCCAGCTCTTCCCTTCCTAGTCAGTCGGCTATAATCTCAACCACAATTCAGGTAGTAGGTAGGATAGTTTTTATTAGCAGAGTACCTGGATAGTTTTTATTAGCAGAGTCTGGGGCAACACTGTGAAGATATTTCCCTGCCTCTTTACTCCAGGAGGCAGTACTGTCAACTCATGTGATGTGATTGTGAGTCTCATGGTATTTGGTGTTTTTCTTTGAAGACCCAGCTACTGAAGACAAGCGACCTAAGAGAATTTTAGTTTTCATTTAAATAAAAAGTCATGTCCTACCCCTCCTGATGGTGAAGAAAAGCCTGGAAATATGACCTGCCATCAGGCTCAGGACCCAGAAGGTAAATACAAGGATCCATATTTGAGGTGGTTTCCTTAGATCTCATGATTTTAAATCTAGTCTCATTATTTGGGGGGAATGAATCCCTGTTTGGGGGATGGCTGAGGTTGGTAGTACTGAAATGGTGTCATGGGTCATACTTGGGACTGCAACAGTGTTAAAAAACAAATCAGTGAGAGGAGTGGCTGTCTGGTAGGAACATGGATTCATTGTGTTGAGTCCTGCACCTGGGGGAACTCTGGGGAGGGCTCACCCCTGTGCATTACTGTCTGGTAGAAGATACTATAGGAAGGATATGATGGGGGAGAGGGGGATGATCCTTTCTGCTTGAAGATATTGGAACCTCTGCCCAGTCTGGCAATTTGGGCAGAGGGAAGGGGAGGTGGGAGTGGAGGAGGCCTTTTCAGGGGAACCTAAAAATAGCTCAGTTTAGGATGGAAGTTCAGGCTTATGTTACATGGGTATTGTTACCATTCATGCCAAAGCCTAGCAAGAGGTAAGTTTGGACTCCATGTAGCTGGGGGGAGAGGCAGGCTGTGTGGGTCAGCCTAGAAGCACCACCAGCTCCCAAGGTGTACTGAAGATGAATTTGTGTTTGAGGAGCTCTTTGAAAATGAAAAGAGTTGTGTTTTACTTAGCGAAACAAAGTCTGACAAAAATAGCAGCACTCTGGTCTTTTCTTTGAAAGCTGACAATTCCTTTGCTATCGTGGTCAACTGCTAATGACAAAGCATTGCATCATATTAAAAGTATTTGAAAGGGTACATTTTGTAGCTGTAAATTCATTAAGATTGCTTTACTTTTCTTTTTACCCTGTCACTTCTAGTTAAAGCATTTCTGTGCTACCAGTGCAGAATTTCTACGCATATCACACTGGAGCTGTATCAAGCATCCATGCCATCTGTCGGTTGAGTTGTGACTCATCAGCCCACGTATCCAATGAGGCTCTGTTTTCAGTGGAAGGCTAATATTCTGGAATGCAGAAGTAACTGACTAATTGGGCCCAATAGTAAATTTCATGCTTCATTCAAGTATTTTTATAGAAAAAAAATAGCATTTGTCGGTTTTCTTTTTTCCCCCTTCTCCTGTCTTTTTTTAATTGGTTTTCATTCATCAAGTATTTCCTTGCAAAGAAAATGGTGACTGGATAAGAAGTCAATGCAGAATTGTTTGCAAATGAACTTAATGGAGAACAGAATTACACAAAGACCGAATGTGCAGCCTTACTATGTATTAAAACGTGATTTGTTTGTTTGTTTGTTTGTTTTCAAACTATTAACCAAAGGAATTTGTCCAATTTAGTTTTCAGCTTGGTCCATAAATTAATAAGCATTCTGACTAAAAAGCATAATTAAACCAAGAGAAAATGCAAATCAGATGATGCAATGTGCTGTGACTGGAATACCATTTTGCAACCGAATGGCATACACAGGCAACACAAATTATTAATGCATGGTTTAATTCTCTGGACTACCAAAAGAAATATGAAGACTTTGCTGTTATGTTTGCAATAAGTGTCTGCTAGGAAAGTCAGTGCAAATAGCAGCATGCTCTGCAGCATAAGAATTGCTCCTTACAGTGTTTTTTCTTATATGGAGAATCGAAGAAACCATTCTACTGCACTCTGCTTTTGAGAGTTAGATATTAAACCTGCCTCCTCTATACTGGACTTCTCAGCTTGAACTCACACCAGTCTTCTAGCTCGTTATACAGAATAATCAACAGGAAGCAGTTTTATCCAAATGGTACATTCTTAATGTTACAGCCATTCCTGGTGAGCATGTGCCTTAAAAATGATTAGTCCTGCCTTTGTGATTGTGTTTGTGCACCAGTATTATCTACTGCAAAACCACAAAACAGATCATATTGTTCTGTGTATTTCTAATGGGGGTGACACTGGCAAATGGGTGATTACTATTTTTTTCATGTGGTGGACTCTGTTGAAATGTTACTGAAAGCTGTTTGAAAATGTAACCTATTTGTTAGTCGTATTTCAACAAACTCTAACTTACTTTCATCGTACAATGCCTCTATATGTGAATTACAATACTGGTCATATGACCATATGGTGCAGAAGTAGTCTGACTGCACTCCCAGGAAAGTCAATGGGAGATTTGCCACTGAGCTCAAGGGAAGCAGGACTGGGTACTGTATGGTAGTCTTGTGACCTCTGAAATAAAAGTGAAAGCACGAAGACTATTGTCAGAATCACTTGTGGATACCTGGCAGTCTGTTAACTTGACAGAGCAACATAGAATCATAGACCATTAGAACTGGAAGGCATCTCAAGAGGTCAAGTCCAGTCCCCTGCCCTCACTGCAGGACCAAGCACTGCATAGATCATCCCTGACAGGAATCTGTCTGACCTTCTCTTAAATATCTCCAGAGATGGAGATTTCACAACCCCACTAGGCAATTTATTCCAGAGTTTAACCACCCTGACAGGCAGGAAGTTTTTCCTAATGTCCAACCTAGACCTCCTCCCCCCCCACCCCCCATTGCTTTTTGTCCTATCCTCAGCCCGGGAAATTCAAATCCCGGGCTTCATTTGCAAGTGCGGTATGCCTACGTTACCCTCCTAGTTCGAACTAGGAGGGTAGTGTAGACATACCCTATATGTTTAAAGTGTCACATTGGTATTACTGTGATGTGCCATGCTTTGGCTCAGATATTTACAATGGAAAGGCTGAGGTGAGGTCTCTCCACATCTCTCCTGAAATGTGGTGCGTGGGGTGCAACCAGGGGCAGCTGACAGGTAGTAGCGAATGCAGAGATTTCACAACCCCACTAGGCAATTTATTCCAGAGTTTAACCACCCTGACAGGCAGGAAGTTTTTCCTAATGTCCAACCTAGACCTCCTCCCCCCCCACCCCCCATTGCTTTTTGTCCTATCCTCAGAGGCCAAAGAGAACAATTTTTCTCCCTCCTCCTTATAACACCTTTTTTGATACTTGAAAACCGCTATCAAGTCACCTCTCAGTCTTCTCTTTTCCAAACTAAACAAGCCCAGTTCTTTCAGTTTTCCCTCGTAGCTCATGTTCTCTAGACCTTTAATCATTTTTGTTGCTCTTCTCTGGATCCTACTCCTACCCCCTTCCTATTCTTTTTTCATATATGTACTCATTCTTTTATACACAGGTAAGGATTCCTGAGATGCACCTGAGAATCTGAACTAGAGAATACTTAATTCTTATGCTTTATGCAAGAGATGCACCTTGTGCAGCCCATTTACAACTTCTTCCTGCCAGGAGTTAAGCATCTGCAACTTCAGTGATGCACTGCTCACAAGAGGCATTCAGCCCCTTGCCAGAATCATACTCTTAACGCAGGGGAAGTTGTTTGTTCCCACAAAGAGCAGAAAAAAAGGCTCATAAGAACATAAGAACATAAGAACAGCCGTACTGGGTCAGACCAAAGGTCCATCTAGCCCAGTATCCTATCTACCGACAGTGGCCAGCACCAGGTGTCCCAGAGAGGGTGGACCGAAGACAATGATCAAGCAATTTGTCTCCTGCCATTCCTCTCCAG